TGATCCTGTGAAGCAGATGAAGTAGCAGCTTCAGTGGAGGAAAGGCATAGATCAGGGATTATTGATCCCAAGGTGCCACCAAGACGCTGCATTTACTGATGGATTTCCTGCCCTGGAGACAAATCTTTTCAGCTTCTAGCTAAACCAAGAGGCTAACAGATCCACATCTGGCATCCCCCTTTGCACACATACATCTCAAAAACCACCTGAAGGAGAGACAGTTTTTCTAGGTCTAGGTGTTGTCTGCTGAGGAAATCCACTTGCCAATTTATCACCCCAGGAATGTGCACCGCGGAGACCACTGGAACATGAAGCTCCACCCAGGGCAAGTTAGACTCTACCTGTCACTGCAACAACACTCATGGTATACCCCTGATTATTGATGTAAGCCACTGCTGTGACATTGGCCAACTGAACCTGAAACCACTTGACTGATCAGAAAGTAGGTCTAATAAAAATATGACACAGATGAATATCTCCCAAGATTTTGATTGTACGTTTGGATTCCTCTGTGGGCCAACAACCCTGAACAGACAAATGGTCCAGAATTCTGCCACAACCCAGAAGGCTGGTGTCCTTTGTGATAATCCTCCAATATAAGAGAAGAAATCACTTTCCCTTTGACAAGGCAGTGGCAGAAGCCACTGTGACAGAGACATCTTGGTACAGTTACTCTGACCATTTTGTCCAGAGAGAGTGGACTTTACCCATGCTGTGAGAATGTTCCAATGTAAATCCTGGAATGGATATGAGCAAAAGAAGCCACCCTGAAGGTGGATACCACAAATCCCAGTGCTTGCATATAGCTCTGTGGGGAAGACAAACAATGGAATTGAAGTTGTCAAACCTGACCCTGCAGTTCTGTCAGCTTCTCCTGGGAATGGAAGACTTTGGCTTGAAAGGTATCCATGACAAGGCCCAAGTATTCCAAGAGATGCAATGGAATTAGAGACAACTTCTTCATGTTTAGGATCCATCTGAAGTCCTCCAAGGTTCACAGCATAACTGACACATTAGACTCCAAGGTCAGAGAGGTCTGTATGCAAAGCAGCAGAATGTCCAACTACAGTCAGGTCCATAAATATTGGAACATCGACACAATTCTAACATTTTTGGCTCTATACACCACCACAATGGATTTGAAATGAAACAAACAAGATGTGCTTTAACTGCAGACTGTCAGCTTTAATTTGAGGGTATTTACATCCAAATCAGGTGAACGGTGTAGGAATTACAACAGTTTGCATATGTGCCTCCCACTTGTTAAGGGACCAAAAGTAATGGGACAGAATAATAATCATAAATCAAACTTTCACTTTTTAATACTTGGTTGCAAATCCTTTGTCTTCAGCAAGTGAAATGCATGCTCAATCGGATTCAGGTCAGGTGATTGACTTGGCCATTGCATAACATTCCACTTCTTTCCCTTAAAAAACTCTTTGGTTGCTTTTGCAGTATGCTTTGGGTCATTGTCCATCTGCACTGTAAAACGGCGTCCAATGAATTCTGAAGCATTTGGCTGAATATGAGCAGATAATATTGCACGAAACACTTCAGAATTCATCCTGCTGCTTTTGTCAGCAGTCACATCATCAATAAATACAAGAGAACCAGTTCCATTGGCAGCCATACATGCCCACGCCATGACACTACCACCACCATGCTTCACTGATGAGGCGCTATGCTTAGGATCATATGAGCAGTTCCTTTCCTTCTCCATACGCTTCTCTTCCCATCACTCTGGTACAAGTTGATCTTGGTCTCATTTGTCCATAGGATGTTGTTCCAGAACTGTGAAGGCTTTTTTGGATGTCGCTTGGCAAACTCTAATCTGGCCTTCCTGTTTTTGAGGCTCACCAATGGTTTACATCTTGTGGTGAACCCTCTGTATTCACTCTGGTGAAGTCTTCTCTTGATTGTTGACTTTGACACACATACACCTACCTCCTGGAGAGTGTTCTTGATCTGGCCAACTGTTGCGAAGGGTGATTTCTTCACCAGGGAAAGAATTCTTCGGTCATCCACCACAGTTGTTTTTCCGTGGTCTTCCGGGTCTTTTGGTGTTGCTGAGCTCAGCGGTGCGTTCCTTCTTTTTAAGAATGTTCCAAACAGTTGTTTTGGCCACGCCTAATGTTTTTGCTATCTCTCTGATGGGTTTGTTTTGTTTTTTCAGCCTAATGATGGCTTGCTTCACTTATAGTGACCGCTCTTTGGATCTCATCTTGAGAGTTGACAGAAACAGATTCCAAATAGCACACTTAAAATGAACTCTGGACCTCTTATGTGCTCATTGTAATTGGGATAATGAGGGAATAACACACACCTGGCCATGGAACAGCTGAGAAGCCAATTGTCCCATTTCTTTTGGTCCCTTAACAAGTGGGAGGCACATATGCAAACTGTTGTAATTCCTACACCGTTCACCTGATTTGTAAATACCCTCAAATTAAAGCTGACGGTCTGCAGTTAAAGCACATCTTGTTCGTTCCATTTCAAATCCATTGTGGTGGTGGTGGTGTATAGAGCCAAAAATGTTAGAATTGTGTCGATGTCCCAATATTTATGGACCTGACTGTATCTGACAATTACAATTACAATACCTTTCAGATGAAGAAGCCCCAGAACTGGAATGAGGACCTTTGTGAATACACTGGAGCCAAGGCACGGCAGAAGGTAAGAACCACAGACTGATAGCAGTGCTTGCTCACAGCAAAATGAAGAAAATGTTGGCAACCTGGAATAAAAAGTATGTGCACAAACTCATTTCTTGTGTCGATGATCAGTCTCTGTACTGAAGGGAGGTAATAACTGAACAAATAGATTCCATGCTTGAGGACATACAAAAGTGTTGAGCTCCTTTAAATCCAGGATGAAATGGAGGCCTCTTTTGGGTTTGTGAACTGTAAACAAGTTAGAGTAAAAAAACCTTGAAACCTTTCGGTTAAAGGAAAAACAACTCCCTAATAAGACAATCCTTGAACAGCTGAAAACAGGTCTATCTAACTATGCTGAGAGGTGCAAATAAAAATCGTGGAGAAAAAAGACCAAATTTTATCTTGTAACCTGACCTTCCACAACCAAGTGTCTGATATGCAAGCTTTCTAAATCTCAGCAATACAAATCAGATGTCCCCCCACCTTAGGTGGAGCTGGTGGGGAAGACCAAACTGAAGTGGATTTAGGTTTTGAGGTCTGGGACTGCTATGGGCATCTGAAAGATCCAGAAGTTGAAAAGGTGGAGGAAGATTTGTGAGTAACTGTAACCTGACCTAAAGGAATGTTTTGATGCAGGATAAGAAGGTGATGATTTTTCATTGCTGAACTTTATGTTTCCGCATCTGAGGTAAGTGATCATTCTTACCCTTCTCAACTTGTTTCCTCCAGCAAAGTCCAAAGACCATGAAGGGCAGTTGTAGCAAGCCCTACTTAACCTGTGGATCCCCTGACCAGCACTCAGGTTTACACTCATGCGGACTGTGTTGTGCAGGTTGGGCAGCCCATTTATTTCATTAGGACACACACACCATGCGGTTTTTTGTGTGTGAAAATGTGGGTTTTTTTGCCAATGCATGGTGGTGCCGTTAAGAATTAATAGCACTCCGTACATCTGCTAAACTTGTGTGTCGGGAATGCATGCAATTGTGTGCACATTTCCGGAATGCAATAGTGTGAATTTTTGCTCTGAAAATTTGAACCAAAGTAAGGGATACCAGAGATAAAACACAGGAGTATTTAGTACTGCAGTAAGTTCAGCTGTATGAGCACCAAGTTTAGGAAACGTAGTAGATTAAGGAACAATGGAATCCTCTACATTTAAAGTGGAACACACAGCCTCAATTAAAAACAAAACTGTTTCAGGAAGGGGCTACATCATTTTCCAGGGAAGGAAGAGACTCAAGAGGCGGTTTAGTAAAACTGGAGCACGCAAAATCGAATGCAGCTCTTCATAGAGCCAATCAGCTTTCAGGTTTAAGGCTAGGTTCACATCTGTGCAGGTGGTGCCGCTGTGGATCCGCATGAAAATCTGTGCAGCTGCACCACCCGCACAGAGAAATGCGGACCCGCGGGCCGTGCCATTAGTTCTAATAGCACGTCGCCCGCACTGGAAAACAGAAGCGTACTGGGAACTGAGGTTCCCGTGCGGGCTGCATTTTCGGAAGAAGTGGAGGGACTTCTTCCCTGTGTGTCACAGGGCACGGGCGTCCATTCAAATGAATGGGCTCTCCTGCCCACACAAAACGTGGCCCGCACGGCCGCATATACAGTATGTGAACCGGGGCTTATTGTCAAAGCTAAATTGAACAAGCTGAAGTTAGAAGTTGATTGGCTACCATGCACAGCTGCACCAGATTCTGAGTGCTCCAGTTTTAGTAAATCTCCCCTTCAGAGTCTCTGTCAGACCAAAAAAATATTAGGAATCTTTTAATCAGAGGCTGCTATAGAATGAAACTGCAGGTGTTTTTTTTTAACCCTTGTGAGCAGGAGGAGCAACAAGTTTCTCCAACTGAGACATGAAACCTTCCACAACAGAAACAAAATAGCCTTAGTGAGAAAGGTAGAGGGAGAAATTCCCAATAAAGTGGAAATTGCAGAACTAGTTGTTGACAATGACTTTTCAGACTTGTTTTGAAGTACATTCTGCACATTCCATTCCTGAACCAAGCTCCGCCTTACAACTATTACAAACAATGTCAGAAGTGGTCAATCCAACGGTATCCTTCCTCAGCTTGGTAACAGACATGTTGCTACTATAAAAAGGTGTATGAACCTTTGAGAAGGAGCTAACAGTCCCCTCAACAATACTCACAAACCCTGGTGTACCAAGGGTTAAACAGAGGCTCGGTGCTACTTGTCACTGAAGGCAGCAGTAGAAAGTAAAGTGAAGCCTGTGTTTAAACTTGAAAACATAGGGCAATGGACCAAAGAAGAGAGCAGCTTCTGTCCTTCAGAGAGCAGCATCCACCATTTATTGACATTTAGACTTTAGTCTTAGTTTTTAATTTAAGATAGCACTTTTTCCTCTAGTATGGTCTTCACAAGAGCTGGGTCCGTCCGTCCTTTTGAAGCCTTCTGAACTAAGCCTATGAGCTTATTCAGAACCTTAAGGTTTCCTTGTCTTATGGCAGCAATCTAGAAGTAAGGACAAAAAGTCAAAAGTGATAATCAGAAAAAAGCAGGATGTAATTTATTTTCACAATTTTTTATATTTTTTGTACATTGATCCTTCTTCTGAGACTTTTGTTTACTACTCATTCACAGAATTCTATGCCAATTAAAATGATGAAACATACTGCGAAATGTCGCCAAACCAAAATATAAGCAAATCTATGGTCAAAAAGTAAAATTATATATTTATTTCACATTGTATTTTAATTATTTCTAGCCTACTCAAATTAATCTGAAGTCCTGAAGTTTGTAAATACACATTTACTTCCTTGAATTCTGTGGCACATATTCACTATGCCCTGTGAGTAGGCACTGATGTGTCACAGAATTCACAGAGCCTGCCTTCTGAGCAACAGAGGTGCTGAGAGGAGGAGTTTCAGAAGGCAGAGTCAGTACAGGAATCACTGCCTGCAGTCAGCAAGGTACCATGGTAAATGTTCTCAGAAATTGAAAATAAAAAGCAGAGGAGAAATTTAAAAACATGTAAGGAATTCATGAAGTTAATGAAAGAGATGGCCAGCAGGCAAGCAGCATTCAAAATATGAAAAAAAAAAAAGTTTTCAAATAATTTTATGTTGGATTGTTAAAACTAATTACTGTTTGTATTGATAATATATTTGTTATAAAATGAATGTGTATGCTGCAACTATAAAACTGATAGATCAGGACTGGGGGTAGGTTGATTTAATGGAACAGTCAAAAACAAGCGTATTTGCCCTTATTTAGTAAATTAATGCAGTAAACCACTGTAATCTGAAAACATTGCTTAACTGATCTGAATATAGGTAAGTGAAACTTATTGGTTACTATGGATTAATACACTGCATGTCCTGCTGCTTTACTGAAAAAGCCCAATGGAGCGACCTCTTGGATTTATAGTTACACAGTTCCCAGTGTTCTGTATAGTTACGTGTACAATGACCTCCTCTGTGCCACTCTCTTCCCAAGAATAACTCTGTACATTCCTGACTGGCAGCACATTAAGTAAGTCAACTTCTTGGGAGTATGTTCCATGCTGCTTACGGGGTGGTGATGTCACTACTTGTATACAGTGCCTTGAAAAAGTATTCATACCCCTTGTAATTTTCCACATTTTGTCATGTTATAACCAAAAACGTAAATGTATTTTAAAAGGATTTTATGTGATAGACCAACACAAAGTGGCACATAATTCTGAAGTGGAAGGAAAATGATAAATGGTTTTCAAACTTTTTTACAAATAAATATCTGAAAAGTGTGCTGTGCATTTGTATTCAGCCCCCTGAGTCAATACTTTGTAGAACCACCTTTTGCTGCAATTACAGCTGCAAGTCTTTTTGGGTATGTCTCTACCATATTTGCACATCTAGAGAGTGACATTTTTGCCCATTCGTCTTTGCAAAATAGCTCAAGCTCTGTCAGATTGGATGGAGAGTGTCTCTCAACAGCAACTTTCAAGTCTTGCCACAGATTCTCAGTTGGATTTAGGTCTGGATTTTGACTGGGCCATTCTAACACATGAATATGCTTTGATCTAAACCATTCCATTGTAGCTCTGGCTGTATGTTTAGGGTCGTTGTCCTGCTGGAAGGTGAACCTCTACCCCAGTTTCAAGTTTTTTGCAGACTCTAACAGGTTTTTTTTTTTAAGATTGCCCTGTATTTGGCTCCATCCATCTTCCCATCAACTCTGACCAGTTTCCTTGTCCATGCTGAAGAAAAGCATCCCCACAACATGATGCTGCCACCACCATGTTTCACGGTGGTGCAGTGTTAGTTTTCTGCCACACATAGTGTTTTGTTTTTAGGCCAAAAGTTCAATTTTGGTCTCATCTGACCAGAGCACATTCTTCCATATTTGCTGTCCCCCCCACATGGCTTCTCGCAAACTGCAAACTGGACTTCCTATGCCTTTCTTTCAACAATGGCTTTCTTCTTGCCACTCTTCCATAAAGGCCAAATTTGTGGAGTGCAGAACTAATAGTTGTCCTGTGGACAGATTCTCCCACATGAACTGTGGATCTCTGCATTTCCTCCAAAGTTACCAAGGGCCTCTTGGCTGCTTCTCTGATTAATGCTCTCCTTGTCCAGCCTGTCAGTTTAGGTGGTGCCATACTCTTTCCATTTTTTGTCTACTGGATTGAACAGTGCTGTTCAAAGCTTGAGATGTTCAAAGCTTGGGATATATTTTTATAACCTAACCCTGCTTTACACTGCTCCACAACTTTATCTCTGACCTGTCTGGTATGTTCTTTGGCCTTCATGATGCTGTTTGTTCACTAATGTTCTCTAACAAACCTCTGAGGGCTTCACAGAACAGCTGTTTTTATACTGAGATTCAATTACACACGGGTGGACTCTATTTACTAATTAGGCGATTGGGTCCACTAGATTTTAGGTAGGGGTATCACAGTAAAGGGGGCTGAATAAAAATGCACACCACACTTTTCAGATATTTATTTGTAAAAAATGTTAAAAAACATTTATCATTTTCCTTCCACTTTACAATTTTGTGCCACTTTGTGTTGGTCTATCACATAAAATCCCAATAAAATACATTTACATTTTTAGTTGTAACATGACAAAATGTGGAAAATTTCAAGGGGTATAAATACTGTTTCAAGGCACTGTAGCTTAATGTATTGAGCCTTACAGCCATGGAATCAAAATGGAGCCAGATCTCCCAGCAGTCAGCTTCATTTGCATGGTTGTTTGTTTCTTTCATGCAGAGGATTATACAAATAAAGAAAGTTATATGCTACATACAGTACATTTAATATTAGGCACCGTTTACTATACCAATAATATCAACAGGTTCTCTTTACCTTTTGCAGACATGTACATTTCTTACAGAATAAGCACAATTATATATTAAGAACTCTTTAGATTTATCTCTCTGTCTACACATATTTCTTTTTTTGGAAATAAAGTGCAATCATTTATGAAACATAACGGTTCAATACCTCTATACTGTGGTCATCCAAAATCTTTTGACAGATGTCCTCTAGCTGTCTCCTATCAAGAAGTCCTAGGTTCTTCTCCTTCATGATCTGTGTTGGGGTCTTATTTACTCCCTTGCAGAGCTCCTGGAACACCTGCAGTCCAGTACATGAAAACAGACTTTAAATGAAGCCATAATCCTCTCTCCCGGGCTTTCTTTGACTGATGCTTATTTGATTAAAATGAGATCGCAGATTTTCCACTTTGCCGTATTTCTAATGCATGATCTAACAATTGCCCTTGTACTAATGAGACGACTGAAGAGGCTTGATAACGTAATTAAGTTTCAGATTAAATGAAAAAAAGTCTTAATTGCTTTTAGCATCAACAAAATACAGTCAACTTGAACTGGAGATTACTAAATACAACAAAAAGTAAGAAAGTTCTGTGGGATCAGCAGCTGAAACAATGTAACAGTAATTTACCTTTCGTTCCCATTTTGGCCTTATTAAATATGGAAGAAACCTATGAAAACACCATCAGCTCATTTGTACACTGCATATACATATTTCTGCGTAAGTCAATTACTAAGCACATGTTCAATTATTTAAATCAATGAGGAAAAAAGATAGGGAAGACTGAAAAGAGACATTGTGATCTACAAAGTAGAGTGGATTGCAGAAGGCAGCAGGTGGGAGAAGTAGAGTGGGATAATGCTAAGGGCTCAAGTACATGGGGCGTTTGGAAAACTCTTCTGAACAATGGAAACTGAGTGCTGGAAAACGGAGGTTAAAAAACGTCTGTTTAGCCACGTTTGCATACCGCATTTATGCGTGTTTGCGTTTAGAAGCGTTTTTAAAAGATAACCTCAGGAGACCTTCCCAAATGCCCAGAATGCACTGAAAAATAGTAAAAAATTAACTATCTCAGGCATTTTGAGTGGAATAGAGAGAGCAGAAGCAGAGAGAGCAGTATGTGTTGAGATTACCTGTATTTTCTGGTTTTATTCACTATGGATCCCATAATGAGCATAATGCAGCACATTCTACCATTTTTTCCTTTGCATGAAACCTGAAACTGACTGCGCTGGTGTACTAAGTCCATTTGAATACATGGAAAACGCTTTGCATGCATTTCTGATGATGAAAAAAGGCTCTGGACAGCATCTGGACATGGAACAGTTAAAAACCGCTTCTAAACGCAAATGCTTATAAAAGTGGTTAACCGTTAAGCGTTTGAAGCGCCGGTAAAATCTACTCCTGAACATAAGTTTTGGTGCGTTCAAAAAATGACTGTAAACTCAACTGCCTGTAAATGACTGTTAATGACGATGTGTACATGGACACACAGGAAAACATTAGGGAGAGTTCAGGGGCTGCTGAAAAAAACGCTGAACAGCTCCTGAATGTCAGTTTTGCAGCTGCAGTGGACATGAGCCCTAAAGCATGATTTCCCTCCTGTCTTTGTTATCACTAGGTGCAACCTATGAGAAACCCTATTTCAGGGAGTGATGAGAAGGAACTAAAGCACAACTCTATTAGTTACTGAGGCATTCATACTGCAGCCCAAGCTCTGTGCTTACAAACTGCTGCATGCAGCAAAATAGTTTACCATCAGACGTAGTGAAAGGCAACCTTGAAGGAGGAAAAATCCTGGCCAGAAGTCTTAGAGACCAAACATTACTGAGTTATAACTAAGGCCATTTTGGGCTGAAACATGTCAGATTTCCCTGTAGGGCTGTGGTTTTACACTTATGTATCATTAAAAGATATGACTTTTCACAATTAAATGTTCCATGAAGTGGTCTATTTATTACTAATACCAACATTTATAACGGCCAAAAAAACATAAATCAGGCCTTAATGCCTTCGATATATAGAGATAATATATTCCTTTGTCATCCCTATAACATCCATTAATCGAGTTGGTTCTTCAACTTTTGGATTCTCTAGGAGCACTGTGAGAGGCTGGGTCAGCTTTCCATATAATATATGCGGAAAGGTTTATTGTACTTCTCTGTTCTACATAGAAAAGAATTACTGGCACCCATGCACACAACCATTTATTATCCATATCCATTGAATTATAACACATGGAAGCAATCATGAGATGAAACATTATGCATTTGCCCATGTTTTGCCTTCACTATCAATATTTACAAGGTACAAGTAGGTAGGTTGTGGGTTGTAGTCTGTAGGTTTCCAACTCTGTTTCCAACCTGCAAAATGCATAATGCAGGGGTCAGAAGAGAGGTATTTCCTTCAAGACAGGCTCTCTTAAAACATCTAATGGGAACTGCAAATGTTTCTTCCTTCCAGAGAAATAGTCTTGATTTCAACTGACCAAACTCATCTGGTACATATTGATTTCAGATCGTCTTTCTCATTCGCTTGTCTAATGACTTTCCGCAGAGACAGCTAAACACACATCAGTTATGAAGAAGGGAGATCTGCTAGAACTAAAATGAAAAATTCGTCACCTCTCATCTAAATGTCAGATTTCCTCTAAACAGGTTAGCCAGCACAGTGTAAAGAAATCTGGCATACAGTAAGCATGGTAGAAATATAGAAATACTAAAACACATTATTATGAGGAGTCATTGAAGCAGGGGCCATCTACTGTTCCTATATATTTACAGAACTAAATGTCAGCTGTGTCTTCCTGTTGCCTGTTATAAAAGAGCCTGCGTAAACACTATTTTTGAACAACTGATCATAAGGAGTTCTGAGACAACATCACTATACTGCCGCCTGCAGGAGAATTTGATACTAGGAAAACAAAAAGCTGTTTGTCAGCCAGGAATAACCTCTCCCACTCCCATTACACTTCAGTTTTATGGACAAACAGTAAAAGGAGTGGATAATTAAACACTTGTCGCCCCGCCACAGAACACTTACTGTGGCAGGGGCAGCAAGTGCCGGCATAGTCATGTATTTATACATGACTGGCCTCTTACCAGGTTTTGCAGATGACTGTGCAGTTGAGAGGTCTAGTGTTACAAAATCAGCCAAATCATTTGGAGCTCCAGTATGCGAACAGGAAAAGTGCAGCCTTGTACCAAAAGGGGTGCCCAAGACTACACCACAGCATCTGTTGAGAGAATCTTCGAGACTAGTGGAAGAAAGGATTTTCCTGATTTCAAGGCCAGAATCATGAGCCACCAGGCTGGTGTTACTGGGTGTCAGGTGAATCGCTCAGTCCAAAGACCCTACTCTCTTGTCCCATGCAGCCAGAATGTTGAGTTGCAACAGCAAATTGAGCATATGTGGCTGACTCAAAGGAGGCCCCAATCAAGCCCAGAACTCTCATTCAAAAGCAGAGAGTTAAGCATCTCCTGGACTCCAGAGCCCAACCATGGAAGCAGAGACTCAGACATTTTTCTTGTAGAAGAAAGAACCCTGACTGAGTGAAAACCTGTAAATACTCCAAGCAATGAGTCAGCTTCAGCACTGACATCTAAAGGTTCAGGAAAATCATCCAAAAAGGATAGGTTACCATGATCTGAACGAACACTGTTACATTGGAGAATGCCAATGCAGAAACCACATTTATGACAATATTCGCCCCTCAGGTGGGTATACTCCCATGTGAGTCTTCAGGAAGAGGATTGTGCCAGCAGGTGCACCCATAATATTCGTAACGTGTGTAATGTGAGCTTCTATTTTTTAAAGAAAAATTAGGAACAGGAAGGAAGGAAAAGAAATAGAAAATAAATATTACAATTAACCTACAGTGGGCACAGCAAAGCTTAACAGGTTGAACATGTTGAGAATTCCTGCTGTCTCCAGTAAGACATCTGTGAAGAGATGTGTTAGCATTTCCTGAGTTGTCCAGTATGTCCCTCACTATAGATTTTCCTAATTGGTGATAGCACAGTGCATAGCTATTTGCACTCCGGAGCAAATATGGCCTCCCTAAATTTATTTTTAATGTTCTGTTTATTTAAAATTATTATAAAGTATGTACTCGTTTTGTTGGCTTTGACTTATCACCTTTCCCTCAGCTGGCGTGACTTCATTTTCCAAATGATGTAAAGCTAGAATTGTATTAGACTTATTAATGACTCATTATACTTGTTCTCCAAATGCTGTAAAACAGATTGTAACACAAAGTCTTATTATTTGGGATGCATATTCATCATTCAGCTAATATAATGTCTGATCTCAACAAGAAGACTATAATTGCAGCATGTATCACTGATCTCAGCAATTAAATAACATATTTACCTCAAGCAAAATAAAAGCCAAAAAAAAACCCCTACCACTTCAGCACGACCGACTTAGGGAGAAGAAATTATATGAATTATCACATAAAAAATACAGCTGATACTTAAGCAATATATTGCAATAAATATTACACTATTTTTAGCATATTTTTGTTAAAAAGTAATTTCACCTTATATAACTGCAGCAAAACCACCTGGAGATACTTGAAGCTAGACACAACTGTCATGTGTGCAAAAACAAACAGGATACAAAATAATTTATCTAGATTGAACTTTAAGCATAAATGTTTTCAAAAGAAAAGATCACTGATAATAACAACAGCAGGCCCAGCTTAACTACTTGCCGACCACCAATAGTAAATGTACTGCTGGTGGGCAGCTTCCCCAAGGCGCAATCCTGTGAACAGATCACTGTGCTTGGTACCTGGCCACTTTAAGTGGCTGTGGTATCATATGATCACTACGACCAATCATATTGATCACATGATAACATGTAAGCAATACATCATGAAGGGCTTTCATTCATGACAACTTGCTTACTATTGTGATGCAGTGATTGGTCACCAGTGATCCTGTACAAGGTGATAGCTGTGGGCCAATCACAGATTGACAATAGTAAACAATGAGTCATGAATTAAAGGCCTAATCACCCCCCAGAGTAATACAGTGTCACTATTGTGACATTGAACTACTCTGATGACAGTATGTAAAAAAAGACTAACAAAAAGACAAAAAAAAGTAAACAAAGTAAAAAATTGTTAAAAAATGGAATAAAAAATTATTGTAATCGTGGTTTTTTTTTTATATGCTAATCACTGCCACACCAGTCACAGTCATATGATGACGCTGCACTGGTGACAGTATGTTTTCCAAACAATTGTGATAAAAAATTACAACTTCAAAAAACTCCCCATGCCTCCTTTTAAATAC